ACGGGCATGGTCACTCGTGCGCGTTGGCATGCACTGGACATGACTGGTGTGCGACTGGACATGGTGGACAAGACGCTAGCTGCTGTCGAGCGCTACGGGCGCTGGCACTTGCATGACTAGCGCTGCTGGGCACTAGCGTGCGTATCGCGCGCACTGGCAGGGTGTCTGGCGCTGCCGGGCGTTGTGGGCATAGGCACTTTGCGCGAGTGGGCGCTACCGAGCACCACAACAGACAACTGGACACGTGAACGTGCACATGGGCGCTGGCTGGCCTGACTGGGTACCGCGCGGGCACTGCCGTGCGACCATCGCGGTACTGGTCACTCGGGCGTGCTGTGGGGCACTTCCCAAGGCCGTCTGCATGTAGACATACGCACTGGCGTGCGCTACGGCAGACTGGCGTGCACTAGCACTGCCAACTGACTGCTGTTACGGGTAGGGCTATGCGCGACGCCCGCCTGGGCGCACACGCACGACGCCCTTTCGCCATGGGCTGACTGTCGGTACGCTACTGCCGCTGTGTGCAGGCAGCGCGACCACGACCGGCCTTTGCCGGCCGTCCGACTACTTTATCCGACCAATACGACATGACTAAACATGATTTGATATAAAATGATCATACTCGCCTGAATTAAGGAAAAATGCATAACAAGGCACTGATATGGTTCGGGAAAAGGACTTGTAGCGTGTGCTATGCGCGACCCGACGCTACGACCGATACACTCGGCCACTTGCCGTTTTCCTCCGACCGTTATGACATAAACTAACATGACTTAACATATCATCAACAAATACACATAATTCTGCCGGACAATCATGAATCTAGCTAGGCACGATCGACAAGACATGAATGGTCGTGGCGTGCGCTACGTGCGGCGCCTACGGCTTTGGCCAATCCTTTGGCCGATAATCAATTTCCCTCGACCATCATCACTTAACTGGACATAAAATGACTTATATTGATCGAATAAACATAATTTGCTCGAAAGTCGTCGAACAAAACGAACGTGGCTAGGCATGACTTATAAGGTACGCCCGAGAGAAAATATGGTCGAGTCATGAACTTAGCTGCATGGTGTGAACTTAGCATGAACATACTAATATCAGAATAACATCAGGAAAGAATTACCTCCTCAATTGCTTGAAGAAGCTAACTTCTCGTGACCGAACCCTTGCGTGCGTGCGTGAAGAAATTCTCTTAATTTAGCTTAATTCTCTAACTCTCATGCTTAGTGTTTAATTATAGGGTAATTTCTCTTGACTTTGCTGAGTGTTTGATTTTAGGTGTAAGGTAATTTTTACCCAACACTTCACGTACATATAGGCGGATAAAAGGAACGTGAATTATGGTGAGAATGAAAAGAAAATTCATGACCAATAAGCTTTTCACCATTTGCCGTGCAATTGGGTGGCTAGTTGGCTGTTTACTAGCTTAGTCATCCTTTTTATTGCTTAGTCAGCTTATGAAGGTTATGATATTGCCACATCATGTTAGTAGAAATGATAATGTTCACGTGAACCTTGAGAAGCTTACGGCAATTTAATCCT